AAAGATGTTAGTTGGGAATGATACTGATTAGTTTTAGGTGAAAATCTAACGAGCCGTTTTCTTGTAATTAACTGTTGAAAAAAAATTAAGCCGATTTTTATGAAACTTTTCGATGATATATATCATGGTCTTATACAACTTATTGAAATATTACGGCCTTACGACAAGTAGTTTAATTTTAAAAATTTATCAAAGTTTGAGAAAATGAGAAGGTTTTTTGACGTTTGTATAAGGATATATTACTTGGTTTTAATGTACATACTAAACCATTAAGTCCTACAAAAACTGGTTCAATTATAAAAATTAATGATTTATTTGTTGCTTTTAAAAAATACTGTGTTAACGTGTTCGTTCGTTTTCAAATAAGTGTAATAAATCCACTCGGAATACTTTTAATCACTCATAAATTAATTTATTTTTTTACTCATTAAATTGATTATTTACATATATTTGATTTAAATCTACACATTCGATTAGTTTCATATAATATGTGTATTTAATACAAATAGGAAAGTTTGTTTTGTTTACAGGCCACTCATATAATTATAGTTTAGAATAATAATTTCTATCCAGTATCTCTCAAAACGGATGCGTACCGATTTTACTGAATGGACGTTTCGTCGTCGTCGTGTAAATCATAAAATCGTACTCGTATGTACCAAAAAGGCATTAGCGGTAATTGACCATTGTGCCTCCTCGGAAACTCTCGGAGGTACACCTGAAGGTGCATCATCTACCGATATCTGAATTCTTTTAATTTATTTTGCTTTATCGACATTGTTTATACACTACGAAAGCATCGCAGTAGTTTTAGGGGAGAGCGGGGTTAGTTGACATAAAATACTCGAAAAATAGTATTATAATCGGATCACAAAATATTTGGAATGAATCACGTGGTACTTTTTGTTTTAAATCTAATTTCTTCAGTGTTCTAATTAAAAATGCGTGGTTTCAAATCTATATTATAAGTAGCTAGAGTGCTTTCCAACCTTTTTCCTAACGAGAACCCTGCTCCAATAAAAAAACTTGTTGCGCCCCCCTTAATTTACTTCATAAATTACTGATATCAGACCAGCCATTCTGAATCAAATGAGACCAAAAAAAAGTATGTGTATGTGTGTGTGTGTAAACACATTTTTGCGGTAAATCGACGTTTTCTCAAAAACCATTTGAAAGATATTAGATGGGAATCGACCTGATCAGTTTTTGGTAAAGATCGGCCGGATCGTTTTCTTGTAATAAATTGTCAGGAAATTTGTTTTTGACGATTTTTATGAATTTTTTTTGACGGTAGATATCATAGTCTTATAGATCATACTAAAATATTACGGCCCTACGACAAGTCGTTTATTTTTGAAAATTCGTCGAAGTTTGCAAAAATTACTATCGTTTTTTAGGCGTTTTTCAAAATTAGACCTTTCAACGACGTTTGCTCAAAAACGCCCAAACCGATTTAAGATATTTAACTCTTTGGGGACGGCTGTCCACCTGAGTGGACAAACATTCTCTGTGAGCCACAAGCTATTTTATAAACAAAGACTCAGTTTGCATCGAAAAGTTGAATAAATTACATATAGCAGTGATAAACAGTGTTGTATTTTGAAAATAATTTTAAGTTATTTTAGTATTATTTTTAGCCTTTTTCTTTGCTTTATAGTCTTTTTTTTTAATATTTAAAACGACCGAGCGCTTTTGAATATGGCAAAACGACTGGTAAATTTTGTGAATTAAATAGTAGTGAAGATGAGTTTCAAAAAAAAAAAAAAAAATAGACATTCATACAGACAAATTTTACGAAATCACTATTCGCACCGAAGATAGTGATGAATGTGATGATATTATCCAACCAACAAAAAGAAGAAGAAGTTCGACAAATTAAATAAAGAGCGGAAAGACATTAGCGAATGTGGCGATTCTCCTTCAATAATCAAGTTTGACATACATCAACAAACACCCTGACTACAAATACCAAGCAATATAAGACATCCATGAGATTATTTTACTTTATATTTTACAAATGAATTATCAGACAATATAATAGAAAAAACAAACCATTATGGCAACAAAAAATTAATAAATAGTATATTTCAGTGGCATATTCTAAATGCGAGAGAAAGAAAATGGGATTGTATTGTCTGTTCTGATAGAAAAGCACTAGAAGGAAGGCGTCAAACAACATTTTATTGTAAAACATGTCAAAATCAACCAGCTATGCATTTTGGAAATTGTTTTGAACGTCACCATTCTTTATAAAATGATCAAAAATAAATTAATATTATAATGTTTGTCTTTCAATGACCAGAAATTTTTATCAAACAAATTGCATAACAAATGATATCAAGTTTACAGCCGGTACAGTAGATTGTTTTGAAATCGGTGCCGTCCAGTAAGTGTTAAAAGCAATTTGATGTATCTCAAGGAGGACTATTGTTTGTCAATTTTGTGCGACAATATGCAGAGCCATTTCTTTGTAATTTGAAAAAAAGTTAAACTTTTCGTCCACATATAAGCTCATACTACCGAATCGATTTTAAAAAATCAAAAACTATTCGAAAGATATTAGTTGAGAATGATACTGGCTAGATTTAGGTGAAAATCTACCGAGCCGTTTTCTTGTAATTGACTGTTGAAAAAATATTAAGTTTTTTTTAGTTTACCGCAATGGAGAATCTCTTAAGATTATACCAATGTAAGACTTTTAATCCTGTACTCCTGTATCCTTCTTTCTGAACATCGGTAGTATTAATACTGGAAATTATAGGGACGAGTGCGGACCTCGACTTTGCAATTATTTCCAATTAAAATGCGAAATTATAAAATTTCATTCGGCGGCGCGCGCTTGCCGCAGTCACGGAGGAGAGACCGAACGCGGCGTGATGTGTTATTACTGTGAAATATGTCAAACTCAATCGACAGATATGTAATGAAGCTAAAACTAAAACATTACTGTTGTAGAACAAATTATACTTTTTAAACTAATTAAATTAATTATACTTGCACATCAACTTTTCCGCTCAATCTTACGCTGACCTTAATTTATTATTAAGAATATGCCATTTTATGTGACTTACTCTGTACAAATTTTCCAGTAGAATAAACTGTAACAGAGCGTTGTTATGGCAACGCTGTGTTATGCTCATAGACCATAAACTACTGCTAAATAATTGCAGAAGATAGAAGGAGACTGTGACGTCACTTAGTGAACGAGCGTTGCTGACAATCGAGGACACTTCCGAATGATTGAGATGTGATTATATATCACATGTCATAAATTGTAAAATTGTAAAATTGTTGTGAAAATATCAGTCCATGCAGTTTAACACTGGTTACTGGAACAGTCCCGAATGATTAAACATTTTATATTAATAATAAGAATAATATTAAGAAAGAAGCATAACACAGCGTTGTCATAACAACACTATTATTCGGTCTATATTACAGGAGAATTGGCTTGGGAAAGTAATAGTAATTAATTATTTGTCTTTAGGATATAGTTTCGCTTATAATAACTAAAAATTAACTTTTGCTCATGGAAACTAAGGTATTTTTGAACCAGTATTATTTCCAATAATTTAATCCCAAAA